AACAGAAAAACCACAAAAGTTCAGAGTGGCTGGATATGGTGGCTCATGCTTGTAATCCCAGCACTTTGGGAGGCCAAGGCAGGTAGATCTCTTGAGCCCAGGAGTTTGAGACCAGCCTGGCCAACAAAGGAAGAGTCTTGTCCTCATTACTAGTCTCTACCAGTGGTTCTCAACCCTGGCTCCATACTAGGATCACCTACAGAGTTGTTAAAGCATACTGGCACCTGGTTACCATGGTAGACTAATTAAATCAGCACTTTGTTAGAGGAGGCAGAGATCATTTTTGAAAAGGTCCTCAGATGATTCCAGTGTTCAGCCAGGTCTGGAAACCTCTGTGTATTAAGATACAAAGATAGCATTTACCTAACCCAGTGGTTTTATCTCAAAGTGCAGTTCCTGGACCCACATTGCCTGGGCTGTTTAAAAATGCAAAACTTTCAGCCCCACCCCCGACTTCCTGAATGAGAATCTTAGAGTACAGTAATCTACTTTAACAACACTCGTCTCCATCCCCATCCTCCATCAGTTCTGATGCACACCAATTTTTTTTTTTTTTTTTGAAATGGAGTTTCATTCTTGCTTCCCAGGCTAGAGTGCAAATGGTGTGATCTTGGCTCACTGCAACCTCTGTCTCCCAGGTTCAAGCCATTCTCCTGCCTCAGCCTCCCAAGTAGCTGGGATTACAGGAATGCACCACCACATCCAGCTAATTTTTTGTATTTAGTAGAGACAGGGTTTCACCATGTTGGCCAGGCTGGTCTCGAACTCCTGACTTCAGTTGAGCCCCCCACCTTGGCCTCCCAAAGTGCTGGGATTACAGGCGTGAGCCACCGCGCCTGGCCCACACCAAAGTTTTTGGGAAGCATCGATCTAACCAAGGAAACTCCTAAGTGTGTATGTTGTAAGATTTTGAGAGTTAGTGTTCTAGCAGTGAGCCAGGAAAACTTTTAATGTCATTCTCAAATATGTTTACTTTCCAGCCATGCTATATAGAACTGTAATATTTGATAGGTAAAGATCTGAATTGTACATGTGTTATTCTAAACACCATAATTCTAGACATGCAGACATCAAAAAGCAGATGTTGGAGACCCTGTGGACCAACGCACACCTTCAGAAGTAGGTTTTGTTTTTTTGTTTTTTGAGACAGGGTCTGGCCCTGTCGCCCAGGCTGGAGTGCACTGGCACCATCTTGGCTCACTGCAGCCTTGACCTCCGGGCTCAAGTCCTCCCACCTCAGCCTCCTGAGTAGCTGGGACTACGGGCATGCTCCACCACCCCCCGCTAATTTTTTCGTATTTTTTGTAGAGATAGGGTCTCACCATGTGGCCCAGGCTAGTCTTGAACTCATGCACTCAAGCAGTCCACCCACCTTGGCCTCCCAAAGTGCTGGGATTGCAGGTCCAACAGGCCAGAAGTGGGTATTTTTATCAAAATTCTCAAGTACTCCTTTTCTTGATCTCTTCTGAAAACAAGTACAGCATAATTTGGAGGCACATGTAAAAAGTTTACTACATCAAGGCCAGGCGCGGTGGCTCACGCCTGTAATCCCAGCACTTTGGGAGGCCCAGGCGGGCGGATCACGAGGTCAGGAGATCAAGACCATCCTGGCTAACACGGTGAAACCCCGTCTCTACTAAAAAATGCAAAAAATTAGCTGGGCGTGGCGGCGGGCACCTGTAGTCCCAGCTGCTCGGGAGGCTGAGGCAGGAGAATGGCGTGAACCTGGGAGGCAGAGCTTGCAGTGAGCTGAGATCCCACCACTGCACTCCAGCCTGGGTGAAAGAGCAAGACTCCGTCTCAAAGTTTACTACATTAAAATGCCTGCAATACACTATCTTGAGTCATAGGAGACTTCTTTGTGTGTAACGCAATACACAGGTGGAAAAAAAAAAAAAAACCGTGGATTCAGTTTCCTTTAAATGTAGTGCTAATTATTGGTAGAAACTTTTTGAGTTGGTATGTTTTCTTTAGGGCAGGTCTTTTCCTCTGGTAGGCAAGAACCACCAGGAGAAAACTACAAGCCATGTGAGGAATAGAGTTAATAAAGAACAGTGTTTATGGCTCATTTATCTGTATTTTAAAACTTTGCTTAAATAATTCTGGGTTAGGAGGAAAGCCCCACAAAATAAAATGAAATATAACAGTTAAATGAGAAGTGAATTTTATTTACATCTATTTCCATTCAGTGTATCACATCTTAAGGGTAGGTGATAACAGTGTGAAGGGTGTGCTCATTTTCTTCACCTGTGGGTAGAAGACTCTTCCCCAGAGTAGCAGTTGTTAATCCAAATGATTGAAGCCTTCAGGTAAGGGAATAACTGCTGCAGGAATTCTTTCTTGAAGAATTTAAGCTGTTTGGTAGGAATTCTGTAACTACATACCTTTGAAACACTATTCACATTCAAATAAACTCATTTTCTAGCCAGACACAGGCTCAATTAGTTTTTTCAAACTCTAGCCAAGGCAGTGTTTCATTTGGGAAATCATGTGACAGAACTGCTCAATTCATAACTTCTCCTGCTGTTAACATTTACACTTAGACTGCCAACAACAGTTAAATTGTGGTCTCAAGGGAACAAAAAAATTGCATTCAGAATATAGTATTTTTAAACTAATTTTAGCCTGTAAGTCATTATGAGCAATAGTAACTTTTATACTCCCTCATCTTGTCTGATGATATATTCTATATGCTGTCAATCTGATTATATAGTCTATATGCTAGAACTTGCTAATTTTCATTCTGCCACCAAGAAAATTATACTTTTATTTATGGGAAAAGGATTTAAATCCTCCTAGGTATGTAAAAAAATGTGTTTTAATCTAAAAGTGATTTTTCTCGCAAGAACAATTTTGTTTGCTTTCTACAAAGTTTTAAGTTTAATAAAATGCCAGTAATCACCAGTTTGCTTCCCCAAAATAAATGCTCTGATCCATATTAGAGTGATACTGTCCCTTAGTATTGGTATCTTTAATATTTTTTACATCATGAGATATCGTTATGATCTTACCTGTTATCTCAAGGTGAGCTAATCATCTTTATTTGCCTTAAAAAATACTGTACTGGCTGGATATTTAATCTTCTTAGTTTAGTTATACACTTGTTTTAGTCTAGTTTAATTCAAAAGGACTCTAACAGTATGGTTTAAAACTCAGATTTTCTAGTCCAGACAAATTGCTCTAACGATTTGGCAGATCAATGGAGACATCCATTTCAACTTTATTGTTCTGTACTTACTATGTAGTCATGTGCAGTTTATCAACACAAAGAATACGGATGAAGGCATTTAAATGGACTACAAGTGACTCTGACTTGTAAACTAGGGAAGCCTCTTGTGTTTGACCTTAAAGGCCAGAGAAAAACTGAAGATAGATTGACTTAACTATTGCCAAGCAGATTATGGGTTATACTTCCTTTCATTCTCCCAGAATTGCTCTAAAAGCTAGGTGTCGTCATTAGCATGTTGTTGCTAATGATATAAACAAGAACATACATGTAATCAGAGGTGGACAAATCTTCAGAAGTTCCTTAAACTTGTTTAAAAAAGAAGATTGGGAAAGAAGACTAAATCAACATGTTTCTCCGCTTTGAAGATAAAACCAGAAATGGTTTCCATTGTAGCATCTTGACAATAGACAAATATGTAAAGTTTATAAGTAGATAAGACAGTATTACTAGTTCTTCAGGGAACTGAGAGTTATAGGTTACTGATGTGTGTGTGTAAATTTCCTGATTTATCACTAGAGTGACTAACTGCTTTACAAAGCTATCCTGGTATTCATATGCCATGTACTAGGGAAACAACCAGGCCAATCTCCATTCGATTTCATTTCTCATTTTGTTCATTTGCATATTAATCACATATTTCCTAAAGTATTATTTAGTAGACCACACCAGCACAATGGTTCCTCCAGCTTTTGGCAGGTGGTCTTACTGTACAGAAGTTATAAATGGCACATACAACCTTCCCCCCTCCCTCCCCATTAGCATGATGCATGTTGTAGTCAGACAGTAACATTTCCATATGTACATGTGCACAAATACATTAAAAACATTTCAGAATTATATAAAATTTTACATTACATGAAGTAGAACCATAAAGATTATCCTAAGTGTAACTACAGAGAAAATGCATGCAGGGAGAGCCCAGTAAAGTACACAGCCTGTGGGGTATATAATTTTATTTTAAGTTTATATTTCCTGCAGGATAGTAACATACATCTTTTCCTACCCAGAGGCAAAATACATTTTCCAAAAACTTGGACACTGCCCACTGCATTAAGTTTAAAATGCTCCCTATGTATATAGACAGTAAAAGTAAGCAAAGAAACTTACAACACATTCCAATCTTTATCAAAAATGTTTTCAAGGCAACATTATTAAAATAATTATACCACGGTCCCTAATGTAACATCAAGCTCTAGTAGGAAGGTACAGAGAGGGCAGGAAGTTTCCATCCAGTCTGGTTTAGGTGCTCTTCTTTTCTTCACCCAGTAAATTCACGGTGGCTTTCTTGGCTGTTAGGAGGGAAAGAAATATATATCAAAACTCTTTGGAATGCAAGCTTTGTGCCTAACGTAGCTACTAGATAACAAAATTTGGATGACTCATGTTCGGGTGCGATCATGTTGGGGTTTGTGGTCTGGGCTAAGGGGGTTTCCAGGAAATGGAGAGGGTACCTCTGAGAGCACAAATCCTAAATACTTGAGCAAAATACTTGACGGTCATCTAGCCTAGCCCCTTGTCACCTAAACTGTTTGCCCTCTGTTCTCCTTTAAGCATTAAAAGCAGCAGAGATTTCTTAAGGGTAGTATTCAAATTCTAGTTTGTATCTGTGTGCTTGCCTGTAAGATTTCACTTACCAATATATTATCAATCTGATGACAACTAGGTCATCATATTTATCCCATGGTGACAAATCACAGAAGTCCTCATTCCTAGCACTAGAAATATAGTCATCCCGGCCCCTCCCCGCCCCGCCTCCCGGCGCGGGTGGCCGAGGCGTAGCGCTGCGACCCCCGTCCCTGCGAACATGGCGCTGCGAGTGGTGCGGAGCATGCGGGACCTGCTCTGCACCCTGCGCGCGGTCCGGTCACCCGCCGCGCCCTGCCCGCTGAGGCCCTGGCAGTTGGGGGCGGGCGCCGTCCGGACACTGCGCACGCGACCCGCTCTGCTCTCGGTGCGTAAATTCACAGAGAAACATGAATGGTAACAACAGAAAATGGTATTGGAACAGTGGGAATCAGCAATTTTGCACAGGAAGCATTGGGAGATGTCGTTTACTGTAGTCTACCTGAAGTTGGGACAAAATTGAACAAACAAGATGAGTTTGGTGCTTTGGAAAGTGTGAAAGCTGCTAGTGAACTCTATTCTCCTTTATCAGGAGAAGTAACTGAAATTAATGAAGCTCTTGCAGAAAATCCAGGACTTGTAAACAAATCTTGTTATGAAGATGGTTGGCTGATCAAGATGACACTGAGTAACCCTTCAGAACTAGATGAACTTATGAGTGAAGAAGCATATGAGAAATACATCAAATCTATTGAGGAGTGAAAATGGAACACCTAAATAAACTAGTATGAAATACCACAACCCAGCAGATTGTCTTAAATTAGTGGTGGATAGAAGACTTAGAATAGCAACTTATAGCATTACCAATGGGGAAGAAAAAAACTACTGTTAACGCTGCTAATGAAGGAAAATGTCCTTTAACTTTGTAATGATTATAGATTTTAGACTAGGCTCTAGTGTTCAGAATTCATTAAATTATCCATGGTAAAAACTAGTTTTAAAAATTACATAATTCAAAGATAATGTTGTTATTCTTAAGCCTTATATAATATTGTAACTTGCCTGGATTTGGGATGAAATACTTAATGACCTTTCCATTGGAAATAACTGGGAGTGAAGAGGTTTTTGTTGCTTGTACAGTGTTAGATGACACACCATTATCTTGATTTTGCAATACACTGCATTTGCTGGTGGTATTTTTATACGGTGAAGCAACAGCTTTGCAGCAAAATAATAAAATACTTCTTCGTTTAAAAAAAAAAAAAAAAAAAAGAAATATAGTCATCCCTTGATACATGTGTTTGGGAGGGGAGGGACGGGGGGAGAGGACATTAGTTCCAGGAACCCTACAGATACCAAAATCTGTGAGTGCTCAAGCCCTGAAAGGGAATGGCATACATAGTATTTCCATATAACCTATGTGTTTCCGTACACTTTAAATCTCAGCCAGGCATAATGACTCATGCCTGTAATCCCAGCACTTTGGAAGGCTGAAGTGGGAAGATCACTTGAGGCCAGGAATTTGAGACCAGCCTGGCCAATATGAATGGTGAGACCCCCACCCCTCACCTCTATTTAAGAAAAAATTTAAAAGCCCATCTCTAGTTAAAATACCTAATGCAACATGAATGCTATATAAATTGTTGTTATACTAAATTGTTTTTAAAATCTGTATTTATACTCTTACTGTGCCACCATTCTCTCCTATGAGAAGAGTTTGCTCTAAGTCTTTGAGTTGGTGACAAGACACTACATTCATCAAGAAAATATTCTGTCCAGATGTGGTGGCTCACATCTATAATCCCAGAACTTTGAGAGGCTGAGGTAGGAGTATTCCTTGAAGCCAGGAGTTTGAGATCACCCTGGCCAAAACACAGTGAGAGCCCGTCTCTAGAGAAAAATAAGAAAAATATATTTTCTTACGTCTGCAGGAGACCAAGCCTTCCACTTTCTAATTACCAAGTGGCTGGAAATGTGCTGTAAGAACCAGTGCAGTGTGTGAGATGGAGGGGAAAGGGGTTGTCTGGAAGCCTCCAGGGCCCCCTGTGAGATTTTACAATCTGCAGCTGTTCTTGATGGAGCCCAGAGTCTTAGTGATGAGAGCCAGGGAGTCCCTTCTTGTCCACCAGCTGCCTAACAGCTGCTCTCCCTTTGCTCAATTAAAATTACCGAACCAAGTTCACAGCAAAGGAGAAACTAGTCCTTCCCTTAACTAACCCTTTGTAAAACAATTCCTAGTTAATCCAAAAGCTTTGAGAAAGTCTAAAATGTGTCAGCATGTAAATTCCTCCTAACTTATTTTAATTCTCATGCCCCTATTTAGGAATGTATCATACCAAAGTAAGACTGGATTTTAAGTATTGATATCTAAGAGAACCAAGAGGCTAGAAATGTGGGTGAAGTGAGCCGAGATCATGCCACTGCACTCCAGCCCGGGCAACTGAGTGAGACTGTTCAAAAAAAAAGAAAGCTGGCAATCCTAAAGTGGGAGGTTGTTAAGACTACAAGTTAGAAAATACCTAAAACATATTGAAGTAGACTGGATTTGTATACCCAAAAATAGGAGTCCAGAGAAGAGAGGTATGTGAGGGAGAAATGGGGAACATACCACCTCTGGGGCATCAGTGCTGCTGGAGAACTCTCTTGGGATTTTACTTCCCCGTGGTCAGTCTACCTCACAACTCCCATGTCTTAACTACCACAGAGCTCTAAAAAAAAAAACAACAAAAACCTTTCTCCAATTTCTAAAACCCTTGAGTCCCTCTGGAGCTCAAGACCCATCATCGGCAAAATCTATATCCTCACTCATTCCTCCAAATGTTTCCTTTACCTTCTTGCTCTTAGAGAAAGCTGGCTGTGCCCTGAGGACATTGCTTTCTCAAGTGGTGGCTGTCTTTTTCCTCCCATGACCCTAGTACAAATGGATCTGGTAGGTATTGTTTTTGTTCTTCATTGCCACTTTCAGAATCTCATCATCAGATTATATTATCAAGTAGCCTTCCTTTTCCCTGTCATCCCTGACTCTTGGGCTACTCTGTCTTATTTCTTGAAGATTTTAGCTCCTAACTTAATGTTCCTTTCTAACACTACTCCTGTTATTTATTTATTTATTTATTTATTTATTTAGAGACAGGGTCTCACTCTGTCACCCAGGCTGGAGTGCGGTGATGCCATCTCAGCTCACTGCAGCCTCGACCTCCCAGGCTCAGGTGATCCTCCCACCTCAGCCTCCTGAGTAGCTGGGACACTGGTACGCATCACCACATCTGGCTAATTTTTGTTTTTTTTTTTTTTTTTTTTTTTTTTTGTAGAGATTGGGTTTCACCATGTTGCTCAGGCTGGTCTCAAACTCTTGAGCTCAAGCAATCCACCCACCTTGGCCTCTCAAAGTGCTGAGATTACAGGTGTGACCACTGCACCTGACCTACTACTCCTATTTTAATTATTGATGATTTTAATATCCATGTAGACATATGTGATCTTCTAATATCCTGACCTCTTAATTTCTCCCCTCCAATAACCCTTATATTCCACCCTACATATGGCACTGACTCCCAGGATACCTGTTAGTACCAATGCTACAGTCCCTCCATAATCTTGTATTAAGCATCCCACTCACCCACCATCATCTTTGTAGTGCACTTTTTTCTTTGTAGTGTGCTCCCCACCCCCCTTTTTTTGCTCATTGTAAATGATGATAAGAGTATTCCTGTTATTATCCTGATTCAGGGTTCTTCCACCACCACTTCCCATCTTACTCAGGTTAAATTCCATTGTCAAGCATTAACCACTCCACAGTCCCACTCTCACTTCATAGTTGCTGGAAATCACAACCTTCACACAACTCTCCACCTACTCTGCAGCTGTACCCATGTAGCTGAGTATGGCTGGAGAAAAACATAAACAAGAACTGGTTTCACTATAAATTCATGAACACAAATCTCAAGCATGCCTTTAACACTGCCTGGCAGTCACAGGACATTGTTCCAGTCCATTTACTCTCCGACTGTCCTAGAGGGGCCGGCACACTGCAGCTACACTCGCTTATGTAGTGTCCATGGCTGCTTTCACACTACAATGGCAGAGGAGAGTAGCTGCAACAGAGAACTGATAGCCATGAAAACATTTGTTATCCAGTGAAACCCCGTCTCTAGTAAAAAATACAAAGAACTAGCCGGGTGAGGTGGCCGGCGTCTGTAGTCCCAGCTACTTGGGAGGCTGAGGCAAGAGAATGGTGTAAACCCGGGAGGCGGAGCTTGCAGTGAGCTGAGATCCGGCCACTGCACACCAGCCTGGGCGACAGAGCGAGACTCCGTCTCAAAAAAAAAAAAAAAAAAATTGTTATCTGGCCCTTTACAGAAAAAGTTGAGCAGTCCCTCTCCTTCCCAACTATTTCATACATTCTCTTTCCACTGTCTCCTTCCCCATCCTCTCTCAATTGGCCTTTTCTTCCTACCTTACTGAGATATTTGAAAAATGAGAAAGTCACTTCTGTAGGCTCCCATGGTCCCATGTGCTCACAGCATACCATAAACCCTGATTTCCCTGCTGTTATCATAAACTTCCAGCTCTTCTGACCAGTCCCTCTACTGGATACTGGATCCTTCCCTGGTCAAGGACAGAGCTCCAGCAATTCACCCTCTCACTCCTGTCATCATTTTTTGCTCTGTTGAATTATTCCCATTCATTTTCAAACAGGCTTTGTTTCTCTACCTTAAGAAAAAAACTTTTAAAATTTCAGGACCCTAATTCCTTCTTCCAGTTATAGTCCCATTCTTCTGCTCCCCTTTGCAGGAAACTTCTCAAAAGAAAGATCTATATTCTCTCATCCCTTTTCTCTCATTCTCTCAAATCCATTGCAATCAGGAGTTTGATACCACTCCACAAAATCTGTGTTATCAAAATCACTAGTACCTTCCTCATTGCTAAATCTGCTCATTTCTCAGTCCTTATCTTACTTGACCTGTTGACAGCAAGTAACATGATAGATCACTTCTCTTTGAAACACTTTCTGTTCTTGGACCCAAGGATACCACACACTCACCTGGCCACTCCTTATCAGTCTGCTTTGCTGGTTGCTTCTCATCTCTCCAGTCTCTAAACCTTAGACTCCCCAGCGTTAAGTCTTTGGACCTCCTCTTTCCTAACTACACTACCTTCGTGATCTCATCCAGTCTCATGTTTAATATGTATAAGCTTGTGGCCCCCAAATTTATGTCCCCAGTCCAGACCTGTTTCTTGAACTCTTGACACCTGTATCCAACTAGCTGTTTGATCCTTGTAGGTATCTAACAGACACCTCAAACAAATGTCCAGGACTGAATTCCATATCCCCCCGACCCGCCACAACCTCCCACCCCAACAAAACCTATTCTACCCAGTCATCTCCAGCTCAGTGGCAATTTTATCCTTCCATTTGTTAAGGCTAAAAAAGCTTGTCCTTGCCCTTAACCCTTCTGACCCATGCCCAATCCATAAGCAAATCCCATTACTTCTACTTTTGAAATATATCAAGAATCTGATACTTCTTACCTCCTACTGCTACACAAAGAACCAAGCCACCATCGTCATCTCCAGTCAGATCACTGCAAAAACCTTTTAACTATTCCCCCAATTTCCTCCCTTACCCCCCTTCAGTCTGTTCCTAATACAGTGGCCACAGGCATCTTTTTAAAACACAGGACAGATCATTTTGCTCCTCTGGTTAAAATTCCCCAATACCTCCACATCTCACACAGAGTAGAAGCCAAAACCTTTACAATGGCCTATCACCTGCAACCTGTCCCACCTCGTCTCCT